TGCCGTTCAGTGTTGTAACCGCTAATAGGGTTCCCTTCTTAAATCATTACACCGTGTGTACGTATTGCATATTGGCAAATATTTTTGAACAATTAACTAGGATAGCTGGCCATAGAATGCCATTCAAACTGCATATTCCATGCTGGCTGGTACTGCGCTGTGATTGGTCGTCTACACTGTGCACACCTGGTCGCAGGTCTCTTAGGGATACGTCACATTTGAATAACTTGTTTTAAAATGTGAGATGTTTCGAGACTAATTCGCATTTATGATTTGGTCTTGCCTTGTCAGACTAGTACCAATACATTTAGTTTTGGAATAGTCCATTTTCAGGGGGGAAATATCCATATTTGCCTGTTGTTGAGAGTTAGAGGAGAAGGTTGATATTTGACCGTTCTTTAATATGAAGCTCCCTGAGTCTAAAGAATGGAAACAGGCAAAAAACATCTAGTTTTTATTATTCTATATTGATTTTATTTACAATGAAATGTAATGATTTAAGGTCACTCCACGCATTCACCATGAACTGCAGCTTGTCCTGATTTCCTGGCAATTCATTGGCAGATTTCTAGGGTGATAATGTTAAGCTGGTTGGCAGGAGGTGGTGTTGAGTCGCCTCCAATGACCACTAAGCTCCTTCGCTTGCTTCACCCTTTCCCTCACCACACCATGCTCCTTTTGTTTGAATCCTCTTTGCTTCCCTCCCCTCATCTCTCTGTCTCTTGCCTCTCACACATCATTATCACCCTCTTCTTTCATCCCCTCTACCTCCTTTCTTCTCTCATCTTTCTTTATCCATCTGTCCCATCTTCCTCTAAATCCTCATCTTCTCCAAGTGTCAGTGCCAGGCTCTGTCTAAATGTAGATGGGTAAACCCTGGTAGGATCCACAGTCTTAATCAAAGAGCCTCACCGACCTTCCCAACACTCCAATTTCCAGTTGGGAACAATAACCGAACATAAGTATGGCTACAGCCAATCTCGTCTCAATATCTGCTTTCTGTCTGCGGTTTTCAGTCCGTCTACTTTCTGTGTCCTTGGAGAAACTTTGAAGAGAATGGAAAGTTGGAGATGAAGCACTCACACTGAATGTGTCTTGACTTATTTACGTATAAGCTTGTATTTGTTTGAGAAACGGTGGGAAGAGGAAGAGCAAGTTGTCATTTCTCTCCGAAGTATTTCACGCCTTTCATCTGATATGACAACAACGTCAAAACTCCTATCTGTGGCTGTTGGTATGTGTTAACGTCCATGCACATGTGGTGGTTATGTGAGCGAGTGACTCCCCGGCTTTTATGAATCATCCAGGCTGCATCACAGCAGATTCTCACACAGACGCTCCACATTGCTTTGAAAACTTGCAGCAGGGAAGATTGTTATGCAAAGATACACCTTCTCGTTATATTAATGATTACAAGGCAAAGCTGCAAGAGAAGAGTGTATCATCCCCGCTAATTTAGACCACTCCATAAATTACATTTGTGATGTACAGTATGTGTCCTGGTGAGAAGGCTTATCTGATGATAAAAGACCAACTAGGTCCTAACCAATGATTGTTGTCGTTATATCATAATCTATTCATTCATTTTGGCCACGCTAACAGCTAGGGCAGCTGATTGTAAACTTTTTTTAGATGGACATTTCTCAACTACCAGACGGATTGCAATTGAATTAAGCACACACATCCATTGTCTTCAGAAAAATATATTCACTTACAATGATTTTATCGGCAAATCCTTCGCATTTCAAATGAATGACACTTTTTATTTGCCAGAAACTTAGACAGCAATGACCCAGAGAGCAGGCTGTGTGTTCTTAGGTATAAAACAATTTCCAAAATTGGGATCAATAAAGTATATCTCATCTGACAGTGCCTTTTTGAGATAGAAAACTTCTATGCAGACATCTGAAACAATTGGGTTTCTAGGTATTACATTTTCCTGAATTTGTTGAATTCCGATCAAAGTCATCTTGTTTAACTTTAACCCTCCTATTGTCTTTGTTTTCCCCCCCCTTACTTTGGTGTTTGCGGTCAAATTTGACCGGTCCTGTTTTAACTGCTATACATTAACACAAAAACCATTAATCATCACCAAATGTCATTTAACACCCTTTCAAACTGTAAATATTTTATCAGACTACATGAACAACTGCAGTAAATATACAAAGAATAGATCCATGTGATCCATGTGGGGGGATGGGCACATAAGAGCGGGAAATGTGTCAAGTTGTTCTGTGTGTGCCAGGTGTGATTCATGTGGGGGGATGGGCACATAAGAGCGGTCAAATGTGTCAAGTTGTTCTGTGTGTTTGTGTGTGCCAGGTGTGATTAATGTGGGGGGATGGGCACATAAGGGGGGGGGGGGGGCACATCTAGAGTATGTGTGTGTGTGTGTGGGTGTTTGTGTGTGTGTTTTATCTGATCTGGATGGTTACTAATTCCTTTTCTTTATGATGGTCATTTTTGACCGGGAACACCATGGGTGTTACAAAGTTGACTAAATCATCCAAAATATAATGAAAGTGGTGATCAGCAATTTCATATGTTCAAATGTCTACTGTGAAGGATATCATAAAGCCTTAATGCAATCGAATGTAAAACTAAAAAGTTATGATTGATGAAAGTAGTAAATCGGTCAGATTTGACCCGAAGACAACAGGAGGGTTAAGTAAAGCCAGACTGACGTTTCAGGGTGACAGCTGTTAGACTTGTCAGTAGGAAATGCATTAAAGATGGACACTTAGCAGTTAAAGAAACATATCTGCTTTAACAGAGAGGTTATTCCTAATGACTTAAAAGAGGGCAATTTAGTTGTGCACAGTAGCTATTACAAACACAGTGGCCAAGGTTTAAGTGTGCCTGTGGGGATGTGTTGATAACGTCGGTGATGACTGGCTCTGGAGAGGCTGAGGCTGACCGGCTGTCTGACTGAGTGGGTTCTGCTTCCCCTATCTGGCGGCCATCTCTTCGGCTCTGATTGTCTGCTCTCTCTGGTTTAACTGATAGAGCCATCAAGCTTGAGAATCTCAAGTCCTCCCAGCAGTGACAGATGTTGATAATGCATGCTTTATTACTCAAATACACACACACTCACATCTGCGCTGTGCCCATCATCATGTCTGAAGATTAACTGGATTTATGTCAAGTTGGGACCGTAACTCACTAATGTCAGCAAACATGCATGTTTTCCTTTCCTCTTTTGCTTATTTCATCTTGTGGGTGGCAATTGCAAGTATGAAATGTTTTCCCTGTCAAGAAATGTTTGCTGCTTTTTTATGTTGGGTGTGTGCCACAGATATCTGGTGTCATTCTCTCAAGACTGCAAAAGGATTGAAACAGGGCGGCTCATGCCTTATTTACCCTGATGCTGCTGCTGCGACATCCTCCCTCTTTCTTCTGTGCCTGCAGAGAGGTGGCTCGTCTGTGACAAGGCTTTACAGGCCGGCTGCGATCTTCTCTGAAGCCCGAAATGTTGCATAAACCCCACTGTTAAGCCAGGCCAAGGAATTTCTTAAGGGGGGGTCAGAGGCGTATGTTTGAGCACTTCAAAATGTGAAAGGAGCTGTAGATACATGCAGGCTGGTTTATAACATGCTGACATTTTACCCTTCTTTTTTGTAATACTTTTTATTTATCGGTTTATTTAATTAAACAGATGCACTTTGTTCAGATTATAAACTCATATTTTTGTATACAGTATAAGCAAATCAAAACAGACAAACCAAAAAAAGAACAAAAATCTAGCTAAAATACAACATTAAATACAAATACAACAAAAATCTAAGCAGTAATATGTTATGTTAGATTAAAGGTGATAATAAAGCAACATTTCCCCCTTCTAAGAGTTATTGTATGTGTGTGTGTGTGTGTGTGTGTGTGTGTGTGTGTGTGTGAGAGTGTGTGTGTGTGTGTGTGTGTGTGTGTGTGTGTGTGTGTGTGTGTGTGTGTGTGTGTGGTGTGTGTTGTGTGTGTGTGTGTGTGTGTATGCACATATAGCTGTGTCAGGCACATCAGAAAGTGTGCGTGTGTGTGTGTGGTACTCATAAAACATGTTCTGGCCTGGTGCTATGGCTATTTGTATGTGTTTGTTTGCACTGTTTATAGCTCCAGTATTATTGTTCTCATATGCAAGCCCATTGATTGTTTGTCAACACTTGTATTTCCACTTAAAGCACAGCAGTGCTGGATATAAAACTCTAATAATAGCTGCAGCTCTTGATTTATAGCCCTCATCAGGGCCTTTAGGTGTGGATGTGTACGCCTCGGGCCCTGTGTCTAAGTGAATACCTTGGGAATATGCAACAATTATCAGATTGCAAGGACAGGACAGATTTAGCAGAGCTCTAAAGATGACGGATTAGGCATCGGTGCCACCAGTTTGTTTCTCAAAATGCAATGCTGTAAAGATTCAGGTGAGGACTATATCACAGTGGATTTTCAGGAGGAGATGATGGTATTAAAAAGAAAACGGCAGTGGGAAACTCCTTAAATTGGCCTTTGCTCTGCCTCAGCGTTTGCAGAGATGTTCAAGGATCTAAAATAAGATGCTCAGGGTGCAGAGAGTCTTAGGAAAAACTGTCTCGGTTCAGTGAAGGAAGCCTTAACATAGCCTATACACACCATTAAAGTACACAATCAAAGAAAAACACTTTCAAAACAGTTTCTCTGTCTGCTACATGACATGCCTGCCCAGGCCACCCAGCCCTTTCTGACATGCATTGGTAAACCCAGCCCCATTACCATACATTATGCATAGGTCTGTCTCTTAAGTCCGATACATGTAAAAGCTTAAAATAGCATGCCTTGCACTGGTGCCTCGTCACAGTGACGTTTTAACTACGTGGAAACATTTGGTTTCACATGACTGTGAAATTCAAGTCATTTTGTGTTATTCAGAACATCATATAAATGGTTATATGATGTTAAAATGTTAAAAATGATTGCAGCAAACATAATGAATTCCTAAATACTTACAATGTGTTCTCATCTTTGTCTTACAGAAAGAATGGCTCTGCCTCAACTGCCAGACACAGAGAGCCATGTCTGGCCAGCTGGGAGACGTGCCACCTCCAAACATGGCTTCCCCAAAGAAGCAAACACCTGCTCCTGCTCCCTCCTCCACCCCTGCCCCTGCTGCTGTAGATAGGAAACCTGTAGTAGAAGCAGCAGACCTAACCCCACCAGCTCCTGATACCAAGGTATTGCCTGAAAACATTCCCACACCTGATCTTGAAGCCCCTCTTTCCGTTAGCTCCCCTCCTCCTGATAAAATCCAACAGGAAGCACCACAGTCAAAAGAACAACCACTAGCAGCTGAACCAGTGTCTGAGCTTGTAGTTCAGCCTGAACAACAAGGTCCGATTTCAGAGAGTGCAGTAGAGAGTGTCCCTGCAGTTCAGCAACAGCAGATTAGCTCTGATAATGCAGCAGAGGATCCTCCTAACTCAGAGACAAATGTGGATCAACAAGCACAGAGTTCACCTGTCAGTGAAATCCCAGCAGGTGAAATACAGAGTAGCTCTGAGAATGCGACAGAGGACTTTTCTCCTCCTGTGGAAAGTGAGGTGCAAAATGTACTGACTAATACAAGTTTAGATGAGACAACTGTCCCTGCTGAGGTAGAAACAGAGCCAAAACTTGAGATTGCCCCGAGTGAGGCTGCAGCTCCCCTGACAGATATTCTTCCAGAAGTGACACCTAATTCAGTTGTGGCGAAACCTGCCTTGATTCCAGAAGCAGTCTCACAGGAAGGCCCTGTTCAGGTCGATCCAAAGCCAGATTCTTCAGCTACAAATGTAGAAGAGGAGAAAATAACAGATGTAGAACTTGATAAGCCAAGTGAAGAACCCCCTATAGATGAAACTACGTCTACTCCACCAGATACAGTAGAATCAGCTTCTAATGTGGAGCAAACAGACATCACAAACCCTGAAGCCGACAGTATAGCACCTGATGTTAAAAATGAAGATGTACAAATAGAAGCAGAACCTATAGAAGATAAGCAAGTACTGATAGAAAGTCCTCCTCCACCTGTGGTTGAGGTTGAGGAAAATGTAGCTCCTGCTGTCAAAGTTGAGGTCCCTAAACCTGACGAGACACAGCAAGAATTGCCACCTAAATGTGTAGAAACGGATAGTCCTTCACTGATGTCAGAAAACATTCACCCTGTCTTAGCTTCAGAGGAGAATAATGAGGCGAATAAAGTGGAAACTAAACCCATAGAAAAAGAGGAGGAGCCTTCCGCACTTGTCCCAGCAGATAAGTCACCTTCTGTTGCTCCAGTTGAAGGAGAAACCAAAGAGGAAACAAAAGAGGAGATTGTTGTTGTGGATAAAGTTAATATTGAAGAAGAAGAAACAGCTAAGCAAAAGATTCCTGATGAGGAATCAACAGTTCCGATTGAAACGGTTAATGATAATGCTGACGGAAAAAATATTGAGGAGAAAGCTGTAGAAAAAGAAGTTGTTGAGGAGATAGCTGTTGAGGTGACAGTAAATGAGAATACTGACAAAGCCGTTAAAGATGACAGAGTTCCGGAGAATGCAGCAGCAGAGAAAGCTATTGAGGTCAAAGATGATGAAGGGAAAGCTTTTGTAAATGAGGCTGTTGAACAGGAAACAGTTGGGAAAGCAAATGACCAGAAACCCCTTGAGAAAGTTGATGAAACTGAATCAAGTCCAGTACCTTCCTCTACTGAAACAACACATGTTTGTTATATAATAGAGAAGAGAGAAACAGAAATAGCAAGAGAGCCAGCTCCAACTACTGCTGAACATATCCAAACAGCTATAGATACAGTTTTAAAAGCTGGTGATACATCTGAGAAAGTTGTGGATGCATCTGTTCCCCCAACTCCTGATGACAGGAAAGAGATAGAACATGTTGATGTCAAGGAATCATTGCAAAGTGTAGAGACGGTGTCATCCTCAGCTGTCATTGGTGAGACAGAAGTCAGAGATGTAGCCGGTGAGGAGAAACTTGTTCAGGATGAGGCAGAAGCTGGATCTCAAAATACAAACAGTATTGCTGAAAATCAACATGAAGTCAAGAAAGAGACGTTGACTCTGACAGGGAGTGATAATGAACCACTTGAGAAAGTTGCAGAGCAAAAGGTGTCAATCAAAGAGGTGGAAGAACAACCTGATAAAATAGAGGATGAGTCACAAGCTGTTGCTGGCAACATTCAGGAATCAGAGAAGGTATCAGAGACAAGCGCAGTGTGTGACAAAGATAGCAATGCAGAGTCTAACGTAGGAAAGAACGCAGAATCAAAGAAGGATGAAGCTTCAGAGACAGATTTAGAAAATGGAGCTGTATCTGCATCAGAAGCAACAGTCCCCGTAGCAGAACCTGAAATCCCAATGTCTCTAGTGAGTGGGCATGACAATGAACCCAAGGAGGGGAACACTAACGTGGAGGAGAAAGAGGAGGCTGTAACCCAGTCTCTGAGAAAGCCCAGTGATGAAGATGCAGTCGCTGAGGTGACCATAGTATTTAGCACAAGTAGTGGTATCATTCATTATTATCTTTGTACATCATCTGTTTTATTTCTGCAGATTTTAACACACCAATAATCTCTATGAAAAAAATAATGGCGTCTTTTTTCAATCCAATAGGTAAAAACATTGGAGACCTTGAAAGAGCCTGCAGGGAAGGATATGGTTGCAATGGATAGCAGTCCCACCAGCCCATCAGACCTAGCTAAGCTGGAAAGCTCAGTCCTTCCAATTCTTGAGGCAAAGTCAACCACACAACCAAATGATGATGAGGAGAAACTAACAGACACTTTAAAGTCCAGACGTAAATTAGAGGTTCTTCCTCTCTCACTAGACTCCCCAAGCTCAGAAGATGACAGAGAACTTTCTGATAAGAATGCCAAAGGCACCACAAAGAAAAGCTTCTTGTGCCCATGGATGTCAGGGCAGATTCGCTGGATGATAGCAGTGAAAGCTTTGGGAAGGAGAGCCCAATGTCTGGGGATGATGAGGACTTTATTCGAAAACAGATCATCGAAATGAGTGAGAATGAAGATGCTTCCCCGTCTGATGAGGAAAACCTGATCCAGCGTAAGATCAGAGATCATGAGAAGAAACCAATGGAGAAGAAGACAACAGAGGCAGTAGAGCGGAGTTCATCAGGAAAAAACAGAAGACTTACCAAGAAAAGCACTATAAGTCCAGATGATGAAGAAGATAAACAACTCCATGGCTCGTTCGATAAACCTGATATAGACAAAGAGGTGGGACAAGAACAAAAAGAGTCTCAGAGTGGTACTGGAGTTCGCCAATTCCAAACTATGGAGCTGAATTCTACCAGCAGCCCAATATGTATACCTAACGATGGAGAGCCTGAAATGGAAAGCCTTACAGACGATGATCGATCTAGAGGTGAAGGGTCTTCCAGTCTACATGCTTCCAGCTTCACTCCTGGGACATCCCCAACATCCATTTCATCACTGGATGAAGACAGTGACAGTAGTCCAAGCCATATCCGTTCTGGTGAGGGTAAACAACACAGGAAAGCCAAACACAGACAACCTGGTCAAGTGCTACCAACTATCGAAGACTCTTCTGAGGAAGAAGAGTTACGGGAAGAAGAGGAGCTACTCAGAGAGCAAGAAAAGCAGAAGGGCTCTGGGAAGAAATCTAAGAAAGACAAGGAAGAGATTCGTGCCCAGAGGAGGCGAGAGCGTCCAAAGACGCCACCAAGCAACCTTTCCCCCATTGAAGATGCATCACCAACAGAAGAACTGAGGCAAGAGGCTGAGATGGAGGAAATCAGGCGATCATCTTGCTCAGATTTCTCGCCCAGTATTGAATCAGACTCTGAAGGATTTGAAATCCATCCCTCAAAGATTGCAGCAGTTCAGAAAACATATCAACTGCCTCTATCAGTATCTCTTCACTCCCCTTCAGATGATAAATCGAAGAACAAATCTCTCAAATCTGCTGATGAGGCTTACGAGGAAATAATGCTAAGGGCGAAGTCTCCAACACTTGAGCAAGGTGAGATTCAACCCGGAAAAGAGTCCATTTATGGAGGCATGCTTATAGAAGACTATGCTTATGATTCTCTTATTGACAATTCAACAACTGACCTTAGGGAGCTAGAAAGATTGTTGTTCCTTCTCAGCCCAAACCACTGAGATCACCAGATGAAGTTTATGAAGACATGATTAAAAAGAGGCAGGAATTCATGAAGCTGGAGCAAGAATATGAAAAAATTCAGCCAACAAAGGAAAACACTAATCCAGAAATTGTGTTGCAACCTGCTGAGAATACATTCTCCAAAAGCAGCGAAGTAACCTTAGGCGCAGATGGGAAGCCATTGTTGGATGCTGAAACTGCCTATGAAGAGCTAATGAAAAAAGTGCTGACTCCTGGAACAAGTCCAACTCAGCAGGATCCAGAAGTGGAAGCCACTGCTTATAGAAAGGCACTCCATCCCATTCCAGACTTAAGGGTGACGCAATGCTCTTCAGGAGAATTGTCTTCTGATGATGAGAGTATGATAAAAAAGGAAAAAGGTACAACTGCAGTATCAGGCACAACATCAGCTATGGAAACTGACCCTGTAACAGTGTTCGAGTGTCCCCAATCATCCACATCAGATCAACAACCTCAAACCACAATTGCTGAATCACAGGATGATGTTGTTGACTTATCCAGTGCACTCCCAAAAACATCAGCCACTGTAATTGCCAGTGTTTCACCCCTGCCCACAGTCCCACAGTACACACCGAGTATTCCTAGCGTAGTCTCTACTGCCCCACCTCTACCCCCCAAGCCAAGTGTCCTGTGTAGGGCTAATTCTCAGGAAAAAGCAGAAGTACCTGTTCCACCACCACTGCCTCCTCCAACACCACCAAAACCTACAGTTTTTCCAAGGAAAGCCCCAGTTCCACTTCCACCTCAGGCTTCAGCAACTCCAATGAGGCCAGAGATAGGGGCAGTGACTGCAGCCCAAGGACCTCCTACAAGACAAGCAGTGACACCAATGTACAAGCCTCATGTTCCTCCCCCTGTTGCCCCAAAGCCATCCATTCATTCACCAGGACATAGTGTCAAACCACCTATTGCCCCAAAGCCTGGCTCCCAGCCTTCTTCACCTGCCCATGCCCCATATTCATCCAGACCCTCTGTACTTCCCACTGGTCCTACTGAAATGACTGCTCTAAATCTGAGCCCTTCTTCTGAGAGTAAGCAGTTCCACCCGTCACCAAAGTCACCTTCTTCTCCAAGATACACCAGAAATCTACGTGACACATATGTAGTTATTACACTGCCATCTCAGCCTAGCTCTCCTGTAGAAGGTATTTCCACTATGGCTCCTTCTAGCCCTGGCCCAGCATCCCCTTCACAACAAGCTCAGCCCCAAAGTTATCACCAAGCACAGCCTCAACATCATTCAAATCCACCGCAGCATCAACAACCAACCCCTCCTCAAACAAACAGGGTGCCTCTGGCATATACTCGATTCACAGAATCCATTGAAAGTCAAGAGATTTGTGGCCCAGAAAAACATGTATCTAGTTCTTGTCACATAATTGAGGCTATATCTGCCTCAGCACAGCCACCTGTGGTTATGCCTAACCTGATCTCTCAAGTAGTCACCACCGAAGTGCAAAGGACCACTGTCTCTGTTGTTCATGAAAGGACAACACCACCAGTACCAGCTCCAAGGGCAAATGGTGTCCCAATCTCAATGGAGAAACCTAAGCCCCAATTGCCAGCACAAAATGGACAGGCTGTCCAACCCTTTGAGGTGGTGGATCTTAGGACTGTTAAGGTTGATCAAGCTTCAGATATGAATGGTGTGGATCTATCTGCTGGCCCAGACTCAAGACGTCAGACCTTTCCAACTGAAATCAGTCGCCAAAACAGTGCAGTGCAGTCACCTGTAGTCAACCTTAGTGCTGAATCATCCACTCTTTCTATAGTGACTGATAGTATCACCATTGTGACCTGTGCTGCCACAATCCAGCAATGTGACAAAGTAGACACCTCTCTAGTATCTTCAGGTCCTCTCGAGCTAACAAAAGTCAAAGCTTTTGAGCCTGTTTCTCAAATTATATATCGGCCAATTGATTATCAGCCCTCCACTAATGTTGGTACAGAGATTCCTATTAACCTATCAGTTGGATCAAGTACAGGTGGAGGAACTTTCCAGACCGCCCCTGTCACTATTGCACCCACTTATATAGCGAGTTGTGCTGCAAATGGATTAACTACGGGAACAACCACAGTGGCAGGAGCTGTTGACCTAAGCATAACTAAACCATTCAACACTATGGTATCAATGGATGCTGCTTCTGCAGAGATGGTCACAGCTGTAATCACAGATGATGACGGCAAACCAGTGGATCTGACTGCAGGAAAAAAAGCAGTATGCTGTGATGTCATGTTCCAAATCCCATTTGCAGGAAGCTGCACTTCTCAACAACCTACCACACCTCTACCTGAAGATCGTTTTGGATATCGGGATGACCATTACCAGTATGACAGATCACCTTACAGCATGAGAGGTTTTGGTGGAATTAAACCTTCAATGTCCGAGACAAACTTAGCAGAAGCTGGTCTGTTCTTTTACAAAAGTAAGAACAGCTATAATTTCAGTGGTACAACAGAGGGTGCAGTAGATCTTACCTCGGCAAAGAATTCTGATGCAGGTCAGTGGAGTGACATTGCTGACCTGTCACTTAAATGTCAATTTGAACTACCTCAACTCATTTATGGCTAAAAGACATTATTTTGTTTGTTATGCTTTTCTTTTGTCTTGCATGGAAATTCATCTTTTTATTTTTTTTTATTTTTGCCCTTTCGCCATATATTTTTGTTGCATGTGCCTGCATGCTGTGATCTTGTTTATACTTGTTGCACTTCCATACATTGGATTTTTCCCCCCATTTTTTCCCCATGAATTGGATAAAGCATGGCTTGCTTCATCATTGAATAAGTCTGCATTATTTGGACTCAACTGATATTTTTGACTTTTGACAGGTGAAGCTGTTGACTACTCCAAGAAAGGGGCTTATGCAGGAATGACAATTCCACCATATTCCCAGACCAGAGTCACAAGTGCTGTTGGTACACTCTTTGGTACAAGCAGTGTCTTGAGGTCATCAAATGGCGTGGTCTATTCCTCTGTTGCAGCACCAATCCCATCAACGTATGCCATTACCAACCAACCTGGGTCCATCTTTAGCACATCATACAACTCTCTGTCAGGTATGCATACCAGTGACACCATGCCCTCCCTGTCCAACCTCCAGAACTTGCAACTTACAAGATCCCACAGTTTCCTGTCGACCATCTCCATTACTGCAACAGAAGAACAAGGAGATGCCCCACTTAATCTAGAGATCTCAAGAAGGGGTAGCATTGCTGGTGTCACCACATTACCAGCTTCCTTATCCCTTGACACTTACACTGATGCATCGCTAGAAGCAATAGCGGCTTCACTGGAAGCTCTGTCTTCACCCATGGTTCCTGGGGATGGCCAGTATCAGGCAGAGCGTGAGAGGCTAGAGATGGAGAAACTGAAGCAACAGCACCTGGCTGAGGAATTAGAGTGGGAGCGCCTGGAGATTCAGCGATTCCGAGAGCACGAACAGGTCTTGGTGCAGAAGGAACTGGAGGAGCTGCAGTCCATGAAGCAGCATATCCTGAACCAACAAGAAGACGAAAGACAGGCCCACCTTATGATGCAGAAAGAAACATATGCCCAGCAACAGCAGCAGCTTGAGCAGATTCAAAGACTCCAAGAGCAACTGCGCATGCAGCTGGAAGAGCAAAAGCTTCGTCAGATGTACCCAGGTGGGGACATGCCCGGTCACGGTGTGCAGGAGGCAGTTGTTTTGGGACCTGATGGCACAGTGCTGTCTCGAAAGATCACGGATAGTGGGTGCCAGACAGATGACGAAGATGAGACAGTTAGTAAAGCTTACACTGCAGGTAGAAAAAAGAGGAGTGCTAAAAAGAGTGTTGATAGTTGTGTGCAGACTGATGATGAAGATCAAGACGAATGGGAGGCTGAGACCAGAAACCGTCAAAGCCGGCCACGCACTGCCAGGGGTGATAGGGGCGGGCAGTCAGATATGTCTTTTAAAGCCCACACTGAGATTTCTATACAAACAGATTCTGAGGGGAACATTATAATGGACACCAGGATGGAGCTGTCTGACTCTGAAAGGACCTCACCTAAGAAACGACCTACCCCCTTAGAAATAGGCCAGTCTTCTAACCTCAAAGTTGATTCCTCCACACTAGCACCTTCGAAATCTGCCAACGTACTCTATTCCCCAATATCTCCCTGTATATCCCCAAGCAAATCCCTGGAGTTCGTGTCCTATGAGAAAAAACTGGGTGATACAAGCCCACAAAACCTAAAGGGGAGTCCAGATCCAGCAAGTCCCAGGGGACAAAAAGGCATGCAGAGATCCATGTCTGACCCTAAGCCTGTGAGCCCAACAGGAGAAGAAAGGGGAAACTCTGGGGATAGCTACGCGGTGAGTATTGAACGTATAACTTCAATTAACATAAATATAAGACGAAACAAGTGCTGGCTAACAAAAAGACACATTTTAATTGTGTCTGAAGTGTTCTTTTGGTTAATAAAATATCCTGGTAGCAGCTCCAATGAAGGCAGTGTTTGTCCTTTGCTTTGGTTTGTAATGCTTCTCATATTGCAACTTTGATTAACCTTTTCATTTAAATACATGTCATCTCCTAACAGTACCATATTTTTTCACTCACACATCATCTTATAGTTATTAAAATATTATTTCTGTGAATAATTCAGTTTAAAATTACTCCTCATGTAAAACTAAACATTAGTCATGACCATTCTTCGTGACATAATTGCTCAGTGGTTATATCTATTTTGCCTCGTGGCGAGAGTTTGCATGTTCTTTTCATGTTTGCATGAAGAAACTTGCACACCATACTGTATGACATTTTGTTCACCACACAGCTGGCCTTAGAAGAGTTGATTCAATAGAGTATTTTTCTAGCAGAGATAACAGAAAACGCTCCATTAATTGATCCTAATGTTATACAATGCTGCTGGTTCCATCTTGCACATTGCGAAGTGTACTATATGTAAAAGCTTAAACTCTGAATGTGAAAGTAAAAGGAACAACTGAATAGGTTGCACATATTCATTTTTTTTCTGTGGTGCTCCTGGCCCTCATAGGGTATGGAAGTCAGTTTTCTGCCTGGGCAATTCAATGTTGAGAATCTCATACATACATAAAAGGATGGGAAATGAGCTGAGCTTGCAGGAAAATGCTGAGCTGTCAGAGATCCACAGAGGCTTAGTGTGAATAAATTACTTATTTTTTCAAACCAAACGTTGTATGTGACATTTAGTGAGATTGTGGGTAACATTTATGGGCAGGAATACATATTTTACTGGAAGGCACAAAAGGTGCAAAAATGGGTGTATTTCAATAAACTTTCTTACACTTCACATTTTCAAGTCTATATCCTTATTTAGTGTTGTTAATTTATATTAACATTATACAGACATTAGAATGTATGCCCTTTTTTTTCCTTTGAGAAAACTGAGATCGTTAATCTGTCAATAATGTTAATTTTACATGGCATTCCGTTCAGAGAAATAATTGTTTACATGTTAATGACTACATAACCTGCTGAATAATTTATTCTGGGGATTAGGAAATATGTTTTGATTCTGAATTCCTAATACGTTCTTTGTTTACTTTTCATACAGGGGAAAAGCTCAGGTAGCACACCAACAGGCACTCAAAAGAAGGTGAAGAGGACGCTTCCCAATCCACCGTCAGAGGATGAGTCAACAACAACTGGTCAGACAGCATACACCACTGGTTCGGCCCGCCGAAGAATGTGCCGCAATTCCAACATGGCACGTGCCAAGATACTGCAAGATATTGACCGTGAGCTGAATCTAGTGGAGCGTGAGTCTTCAAAACTCAGGAAAAGACAAGCAGAGTTGGATGAGGAGGAGAAAGAGATTGATGCCAAGCTCAGGTATTTGGAGATGGGCATTAATCGTAGAAAAGATGTCCTACTGATGGAGAGAGAGAAGAGAGAAAGGGCCTACTTACAGAGTGTTGCTGAGGATAGAGACTACATGTCAGACAGTGAGGTTAGTAACATCCGAGAGACAAGAGGTGGGCTTGGAAGTGAAGATGTTGAGATTGAAAGTCATGGTCTTGAACGTCCCAGGACAGCTCCCCAGGCAGAATTGGAAGAGTTTGTCCCACCTCAAACCAAGCATGAGTATGGAAAATACTCCCAGTACCAATACAATCAAACCCAATACCAACAGTCTCTCTACCAGACTCCTCAGTCCTACCAATCTCACTCTCTGTACTCCTCTGTCCCCTCGCTCACCAGTGCCCAGCAGCAGAGTTACCACCAGATGCTTCTGTTGCAGCAGAAAGCCGCTAGACAAGCAGCCCTCCTCTCAGAGCTGGATGCAGCTAAATATGAAGTCATTAGCCGCCAACCTGATCCCACATCATCAGCTTTCCTGGGGGTCAAGTATGACAAATATGGCAACCACCTTGACCTCAGAGCGTTGGATGTGGGAAATATGGCACGTAGCCCAATGTCAGCTGTCTCTGATTCCTATTACACCGACGTAGATCATCATACACCTAGGAGTTACATGTTGCTAGAAGATGCTGCAGAACTTGCTAAGGGCTCCACAGGTATGTCTTCATCTTACAGTCTGGCGGAGAGGGAGCTGGCCAAAGCAGAGAAGCTTCTGCGTAGGAGTGCTGCAGATCTGGGGTCTACTGACTATCTGGGATCCACCTCTAGACTCCATACTTATGGAAAGACCCCTGATGAAGAGGATACAATGGAGGAACCCTATGAACTGAAACTACTAAAGCAACAGCTCAAGCAAGAGTTTAGGAGAAGTACAGGTGGGACAGAAAACTTAGAACAACTGACAGGGCTGTCACAGCACTACTATACCCCAAGCTCGAGCGTCTCTAGTTACTCCCAAAGAAACTATCCAAAGACAGACAAGTACAGCATCAGTCGACTTACTCTAGAGAAGCAAGCAGCTAAACAACTCCCGGCATCGATGTTGTACCAAAAACATAAGACTCCATTGATAGAACCTAAGATCTCCTCCAAATATTCCTCTATTCCAGATAACAGAGGCTTGGAGACAGACTATAACTATCTTGGGTCTACCAGTGCATCAGCAAGAGCCAGCCGGCTCTCTCAAGATGAGATCACCTTTGGCCTTCGTAAGAATATTGCAGAGCAACAAAAATACCTGGGGTCCACCTTGGGTGCCAACTTGGCTGGGTCATTAAACCTGGGCCAGAGTTTAGGATTGGACTCTGCCTATCCCAGTGGTAGTCGCTCAAGACCCTCATCCAGGCCCACATCTTGCTATGGGTTGGACTTGTCTCTCAAAAGAGACCTTTCCAGCTCTTCACTGAGGCTCAAAGGGGACGGGGAATCATCTGGAGATGTACCAAGCTATCAAACCCCCTCTGGCCGCACCAAACCTACCAGCCTTCCCATTGTACAAAGTGGCCGTGGCCGATTACCCATAGTGGCCCAGAACTCAGAAGAAGAGAGTCCGTTGAGCCCTGTTGGGCAGCCAATGGGCATGGCCCGTGCCTCAGCGGGACCTCTGCCACCTATATCAGCAGATTCAAGGGACCAGTTTGGTTCCTGCCTGTCATTGGAGGACTCCCAGCAGCAGCAACTTATCAGGGAAGAGCCAACCAGGGGTAGGGGTTATGTGCTGATGGATGACCTTCAAGGCACCATGTCAGATAGTGAAGGTAAAAAACAGACATGTCACTCTGTCACTCTTTTCCTACTGAATGTTTCATACTTTAGAGTGTCTGGTTGTGGTTTATTTTGCTTGCATGTATTGTGTATAACATCTAGCTCTGTCTTTATTGAAATGCTGCATGTGTCTAACCTTAATTTTGGTGAATGTATTATCTCTTTATTTTTGGGTCTCACTAATGTTGGTCTATTAGTTGAGATCTGGTGTGCATGCATGCTTTTGTTCATTTTGCTTTTTGTGGTTGAATGTAATCTTTATGCATGCACTGTGTTGCTTTCTGCATTTAAGATATTGTATAACATTTCCAGTATTAATTCACTGCATGACACTGTAAAGTCTAACTTCCTGTTACTGCTATATTGCGTGGGAGGTTCCCGTCCTTATATAGAAATGTCTCACTGGTGGCAGTCAGCATTTTATTTAGAGCATGCGGTCATTTATAGCCCTTTTCAACTGTTAAAGAAGATTTTCATTGTATTCAAATCCTGCTTGTTAGACATTCAAGGCAGAGCAGGATAATCCTTTGAGATTTAAATCAGATTTAGAAAAAGAAAAATCCTCAAATTACACAAGTAAAAAGGGCCGCCCCATATGAAAATGTACCATTTGGTACAAAAGAGTTTCAATTGAATCAGGTATTATACATTTACACTTAAAGACGACACATATTGTAAAAGTATAGCCAATTGTACATTAACTATATTTTTGGATTTTCCAATAGTGTGAAATGTAATTTAGATGGTGGATAATGTTGGTGTATTATCATCATACTTAATTGTATGAAAATAAATGTGGGTTGAATCATAGTATCAAGTTATAGGCAAGATCAATAACATTCTAAGAAAACAACAGTGTGAAGCAGAGTACTGCCGTATTTGTGGAAATGCATGATATTTGTTTGCAACACTTATCTGTGTGTAATAAATATAACAATTTAACTTGCATGTTTTGTTGTTGTTGCTTGTATGACGATATATCAGTGATTTTGTGTTGCATGGAATGTTGCATTAATTTCTTGTAACATTCACTATTTATTTGTCTCTACTTTCAATGAAAGCAAACAGTATTCTGACCCAGTTTTTTGCAGAATGTGCAAGTGTCTTCCAACAGGAAAGACTATTATTTAAAGCAAGAACTACATAATTTCAGTACATCTCAGTTTGCTTCTGTTTTGCTGATAAAAGCCACAAATCATCTATTCAATATTTAGCAATATATTGTTGATGCACACTTCCAGGTGATGGCTAAAACCATTGTATTAGAAGTGTTTTTTTAAGTACCAATATGCAACAATGAGTTCCCATGGTTTCCAAACTAAGAGGAGTGTGTCATGAAAAGGAAGCAAAATGTGAAAATGTTTGTAAATTCAGATTTTAATAAAGGTTACAATGTTTCTTTCTAGTTTAAACATTTAAATATCCCAGTTCGGATTTGTCTTGAATGCAGAATAACTTGTGAATAAATTCCAATGGATCCCAACATTATGCAATGTAAACCAATTTGCCTTGATTCCAGCCCTAAGTGATTCGCTGATGGCTTTGAACAGAGACGACGCAACCAATGGTAGAGTATTAGTTCAGTTCTATAGTCATTCATAAGCTATCACATTAAAATGCACCTAAGGTCTAATGCACATCACCATTATTTTTACTGATAGGCCTACCGTTTAAAGAAAGTACTTTCACGATTGGAGTTATGAATAATGTAAAATATCTACATACCCAAGATTTACATTAATAGAAAATAACTACCTTATAGGTGCTAATAATAATGCTGATAGTACAAACTACTACATTTCTTTGGTTCTGTTTTGTTTTTTACATTACCCTTAATGTTGTGTTGCTTGTCAGTCCTCTCTAGCAAGGAAGTAAAATAATATTAAACTCTTTCTCTGGCCCTTGTTTTTCTCATATTTCTATCCCAACTAATTGATGTAGATTTATTTATAAATACAAATGTGCTTAAAGCATTTTAATAACCCTTATATGAACTGATGAAGCCCATATAGTGGGATGAAGCGGCTCAAGTTCTAAGATCTGTTCTGAAGTAGTTCTTGTTTTTATCCCTAAAGCCTACCACCTTAGACGAGAGGAGACCGACTGGTTTGACAAACCTAGAGACGGCCGTTCAGAGAATGGCCAAGAGAAGAGACAGGTGAAACGAGAAAAACGCACACACCTTCTGTACACAATTTTACTGTAGTTAAATTCTTGCATGGCAATATCTACTGGTCTATTTGTTATGTAAAAATCACCTTGATGCAGAGCTACCATAATGTACTGTTTCCCGTTGACCTTGTACACAAATGACACTTCCCAATTGTGCATGGACCACAGGGAAAAGGCCCGTACTACCCCTTCCCTCACCTCAGGGTCAAACTGCAGAGGGATCCCAAAGATCGCAGTGTCTCAGGTAAAGTATCACAATATTCCTTCAATAAAAGGAAAAGCAGTATGCAAAGAAAATGTATGGCTTCAATTGCAAGCTAATGCGTTATTGACTGTAATGCATGCATTCGATTTTATTGACCCTATTGCTTACTGACTGCATTTAATATGCACCGCTTACAGTATACACATTGTTTTACCTTTATTTAATTAGAAACATTTAAATATAGATTCAAAATCATTCAAAAAGAACTAATACAGTCAAATGTACACATTAATATGTATCATGATCCCATTAGGGTTTACAGAGCATGACCGGTGTGCTTCATGCCTTCTATTTACTTGATATTCATGCCAGATCTCATGAAACTGACGAGTCACTTCCCCTGCCATTACATTCCATCACACTATTCTTCCAGGCTCAAAGCAGGCAGACATTTCCTGGCTTCTCTTATGATTTGGCTCTTTTCCACACTCATCAGTCATTGCCATGCTCAAAATGGCGTATCCCTCACATTCAGGATTATTTTACACAATTAACAAATAGCCCACAAAGGCAGCATTGTGTTTACTTTGTGCTGTACTGAGTCATTTCTATTCTATCTCAGTTGTTTTGTTCTTGCTTCAAAAACCATGTTAAATATTTAGTTTTGCTTCTGTGTATACAGTATATGTGAATGCATTTTATTTTACCTGTGGGGGTACAGGATAGATCAATATGTGATTTGTGGATAACTCATAGAGAGGTTGGCATTTATAACGTTTTTTAAAAAATGGTTTTACAAAGGTTGAGATCATTTTCTACAGAAGCTGTAAAATGTATAGAAAACGTTTTAAAATTAGTAAAATAAAGGTTGTAGCCTTATGCGTTATTGTTAAATCTGCGTAAATATCTACATAGCTAACAAACAACCAATAATACCTTCAGATAAACGTTATTCTGATTATTTATCATCCATGATTATAGGGGAACATGTGGGCCATCTGGTTGTTAGTGTCCTTCTACTTTTACTAGTCAATGGAGACCATATCATTATATAGAGTGTATTAAAATCAATGACAAATGTATCTCAAATTGATAACATTAATATGTGATTTAAGTAACTTAACCACACCAATTCCCAACAATTTGAATCAAAGCTTAACTGACAATACTGCTACTCTGCTAAGCTAATTAGCTTTCATCACGATTGGAATTAAAGGGGACCTATCATGAAAAAAACAAAACGGGGCTACAACGGAGCTGATCCAGATTTGCGTCCGATATGACGTAATATCGGAAATGTAGGCTGGCTTTACACCCACGGCCCTATCAGAAACGTTGCTATCAGAAACAATGCCCGACGGTTTTGGACGTAATATGGTCGGTGTTTACATTAGCATCGCTAACACTCAGAGCTAACCTTCAATTCAATTCAATTCAAAATCTTTATTTATCCAGGTAAAATCCCATTGAGATCAATGATCTCTTTTTCAAGGGAGACCTGCAGCAGTAAGTTCCACAAGAAGACATAAACAACAGAACAACAAAAGGACATCATACAGCAAAATGTACAGGGATTACAATTTACATATTTAACCACAAGTACAGGTACCAACAGCATCTGATTTTGTAGCATCCAACCGAGCTTTAAAAACATGTAGTGGTACTAGCTTGGTAATTTTCCATTCTTTTTGCAGACTGTTCCATGTTAGTGGAGCTGCACATCTAAAAGCTTTCTTCCCTAAGACAGTCCTAGCACTTGGCACATTTAATAAAACCACAGCATGCGATCTCAGGCAATAAGTACTTTCAATTCGCAGAGAGATCAGGGAGCAGATATAAGATGGTAGTTTATCCAACATGGCTTTGTAAATGAAAAAGTACCAGTGACTGAGCCTCCGTACAGTAAGTGATGGCATAACCGCCTTGGTATACAGGGTACAGTGATGCGTAAGTGCTTTACAATTTGTCAAAAATCTCAGTGCACTGTGATACGCAGCATCTAACTTGCTCAGGTAATTGGCAGGTGCATTCATATATAACAAATCACCATAATCCAGCACAGGTAAAAAGGTCACAGTGACTAGCCTTTTCCTGGCCTCAAGCGAGAAACAGGACTTATTTCTGTAAAAGAAACCTAGCCTAACCCTCAGCTTTTTAAGCAGGTTATTGACATGAAGTTTAAAAGTGAGACAGTCATCAAGCCAGATACCCAAGTATTTGTAACAGGTAACCACTTCAAGTTGTATTTCTTGCGTAGTTACAATATCCAAATCAGTCTCTGGTGTATTTTTAGCTTTAGCTTTAGAAAAGAGCATTACCTTGGTTTTATCCACATTTAAAAGAAGCTTAAGCTCAGAGAGCTGAGCCTGAATAATGTTAAAAACAGCCTGTAATTTAACAACAGCCTCGTTAATCGAGGGACCTGCACAGTACATAACGGTATCGTCCGCATAAAAATGTAAGGTTGCTCCTTCGACATTTTCACCTAAACTATTAATATAGATACCTGTTATTTCACACACACATACGGGTATTGGGCCGAGGGCGACACCGTACTTCCGGTATCTGCCGTTTTACGTGAGGTGCAAGCAGGCCAAGGGTTTAGCCGTACACCGTCTAGGTGTTGCTAAGCTTCCTGTACTGAATATCATAGTCTATTGCCTTAATCAATATCTAGTCAACTCTAAAATACCACATATATGCAATGGCATGATAATATTATTGTGACAAGTGGGGTATTCACCTGGTGTTTCCAGAAATTAGACGTAGATGCAGCCAAAATCGACGAAGGCCACTTTCGAGGGTCGTTTTTCCATACATCTGCAGGCAGTCTGTAAGGGCAATCCGACAACCCACACAGCTCTAGTTTACGCTGGTAACGACCTAGAGCACACCCCTCAAGTCCAGAGATGTAATCCGAAGACATGCAGCGATTTCTTCGGTCGTTAATTCAGAAAAAAAACCTAGTGCGCTCTGCCTGGCTACGTTAGCTAGCTGTTTATATTTGCACTTCCAGGATATTTGCACCTCCATGAAAATGGCGTATTTTTTTATATATATATGGCGCGTGTTGCATTGTGGGTAGCTCGTGACGTCACTGTGTGTGAAAGAGTACTGCACAGAGCATGTGTCTGAAGAAGCAGGAAATAAAAAGGAACTCACCTTGTGGTATAACCGGCAAGAGAGAAAGCCTTTGAGCTCCATACTGTTCCAGAAATAATCCTTGATAATACATGATATGGCGTTTCATCACGGCAGTATTTAGTTTAGACAGTAGCTGCCGGGTCCCGCATGAGCTCAGCCCCCTCCTTTTTTTCTTTTTATCAATCTTTTTTTTTTTTTAAAGCTTTATACCCAGAATCAGCACTTTTGAAACAGGAAGTGAAATGGAGGGATATGAGGCATGGCTAAATGGGTGATCTGTTTGGTATTTTGAGCAAAACACTTTATTTTATGTTTTTTATATATTTATATATATCTGAGACCTATGCTATTGCCTAAAAATAGCATGATAGGTGACCTTTAACTTTAACCTCTTTTAGTTATGAGGAATAATTAACTCACCTACCAAGAAGTGTGTTTATCTAAGTGGGTATTTTCATTTTGGTTTGCAGGTAGCTTAAACAAAGGATTTAGCTAGGCTACATTTGTGACCATATTTTCTCTGTTTCTGTAGGTTTTAGAGTCTGAATGGGTTTGTGGACAAAGAACAGGTTAATAATTGAACTTTATTTACACTAATATTGCACTCACAAGTTTTTGTTTTTTGTTCTATACAGGAAATGGTCTGGGTATCCGTGTGGTTGGAGGGAAAGAGGTCCCTGCAAGTAATGGAGACATTGGAGCCTATGTAGCTAAAGTCTTACCAGGTGGAGCTGCAGAACAAACAGGAAAGATTCTTGAAGGTAAACTCTTCTACGATCAGAAAACAAATTCATAATAATCAGAATGTTTAATCTGAGGATGCAATTTTAAGTTTTTAAAGTGACAAATATATTTGATACCACACTCCTGTCATTACAGTTAGCAACTGAATGCTAGCCGTTTAGCTCATAGCCCAGCCCTTAAACCGAGAGAAGCTCGCTTGGTTCCGTTAAAATGTAAAAATGAAATCTTGCTAACTCGCCTCAAAAGCTCCCTGATAAATGTGGTATATCATTTCTTGGCATTTCTTCTTATTCATTTTCGTTATTCATCATTCGTTTCATTCACAGTAGCTTGAAATTACAAAAATGTTTCACCAAGTAGCCATTGTGCACTAACTTCCACACCTTTTACTGACACCAGCTCAGGATAAATTGCTCTGTGGTATGTTAACAGGAACATTTCATGAGCTGGTATTGATTTCACATGCGGGAGTCTAGGAACTGTTAACCCTCTTTCCCTCCCAGTCCATCTGTCCGCTCACAGCCCCCTTTAATCTTTGTGTTGAGTCACATTGAGGGTGTCACTGACAATGGCTAAAGCTGTAACCCGCGCCTTTTAAAGCTGCCAAACTGGTGACCTATGGATGGTGAGATAGGGCTTGAGGGAAATACTGCCCTTTGTAGTGTGCTATCCATCTGTCTGCGCTCTGTGGATATGTGTGTGTGTTGAGCATCGATAATATTTAAAATATATATATATTCTTGTTTGTATTCCTTTCAGTTTCCCTTCCTTTTATAATTTTTTCTTCTGGGTTTTTCTCTCTTCCTGTGTTTATCAGGACATTTTAAGTTTCCCCAGAAAACTGCTTACTGAGCAGCAATAGAGTGGTGCAGTGACGAGTCTTAAAACCCGGAAGTGAGTTAGCATTTTACCACTACCGGTTCCCTCGTCTCAGAGTCGATGGGATTTCTCCATAGGATTTTGGAAAATAGCTCGAAATAAGGTCTGTGTTTGACACAAATTTAAGAGACGGATCACGTTTTGTTCTACGACATTAAATACATCAGCAGTGACCCCGCTGGTGATTTTTGAAAAGTTTACGTGTCTGAAAAACGATAGTTGTTAACAAGTGGCTGAATAGGACAACAGAAGTTGTCGAGGACGTTGTACGTCATTACGCCGAACACGTAAACACTCCCTCTAAGTTTGTTTTCCCCTGTTCTGCTTGAAAGCAAGTACCTGTCTCCTGCAAACTGTTAAAACAAACCCTTCGACTTGTACAATTTTGAATCTGTATGTTTGAATATCGATCTTAAGTTGGCGTGACGTTGAAGTACTGTAGTTCGGTAATAGCATAAAGTTAGCATTTTGCTTCTGGCGATTAGATTTATGATTCGAAAATTATAAAAATGTGGATAGTATCCGCCTGAACAGGTTCGTTTTCCGCAGACCTTATTTCGAGCTATTTTCTAAAATCCTATGGAGAAATCCCATTGCTTTTTTGTCGAGGGAACCCATGCGCAGCTTTCTTCCGGGTAAATACGTCATCCCTGCACCACTCTAAATAGGCTACAGACAGGGTTGGGAGGGTTACTTTGTAAATGTAATCAGTTACTGATTACTGATTACATGGCTCTGAAAGTAATCCGAATACAGTTACAGTTACGTGTCTTAAAAAAGTAACGTAATCAGATTACTTTTGGATTACTTTATTTTTCCATCACAGAGATGGGTATGTTTTGGTGAACAGGAGACACAAAAAGCAAAAGGAAACTGAACGTGTTTTTACTGTTTTAATGGCTTATCAAGAGCACAACTGAAACATAACATCTGAAACGATGTAACAACATAATACACTTTTTGGGGATGCAGCTTGGGATGTGAGGAGTGAGGGACACGGCTTAGAACGAGCGTGTCGCCTTCTGTCCTGCCAGTGTTGGCAGGACATGAATTAAAATGTCAAACTCGGACTTCATTTTAAGGATATTTCGGCCAGGGGTGTAGAGCTATATGTGTTTAAGCACCGGATTGGCAAAACAGGAGAGTGTGTGCACCAGTCTGCCTTGATCTATGAATTCATGTCCGTAACTCTCACAGTATCTGCTGCCCGCAGCTGCTTTATAGAAGGAACACCTCCTTCACTTCATGAAATCTCTGCAGCAGCGGGAGGGTTAACTCAGCCTCTGAGAAGACGAGCACTCAGTGCCTTTCACGCACCGCCTTCGCTGTGTTTACCTTCAGAAATAATCATTAGTAAGGCTAAAGAAAGAGCGACCGCAGGCTGATGTGTTTTAACCACTCACACGCGATTTAAACGCAGACTTGTGTTCCTCCATGTTTCGCTGTTATTGTTTCACTGAGCGGACCCGCGATTTTTTTTCAAACGCTTTTTTGGTCCATCTGCGGCGGTAATAGGTTTTGTGCGCTGTGATGATTCGGCTGTACCTTTAGTAATGAATATTAAATGTTGTGAGGAAATCTTTCCACCAATAATTCCAATAAGTAATCCAAAATGTATTCACTTCAGGTTTACGAAAGTAACTGTAATCAGATTACTCGTTTTTCAAATGTAACGCGAGCTGAATACAGTTACTTGATTTGTGTATTCTGATTACGTAACGCCGTTACATGTATTCCGTTACAACCCAACCCTGACTACAGAGCAGCCACCGCTCCTCCGTGTAAAGACGCTATCGTAGCTAACTAGCTTCTGCTTCTGCATGCATGCTCTCACACACCTACTGCACACACACACACAACCATTTTGATTATCACCTGCAGATCACATCAGTGGAAATATTAGGGGTCTTAGTAGATCACTAATGCAGCAAAGCCAGCAACTTTGTGAGGGACTAATTGTTCATGCTAATCATCTTCATGTTAGCATATTAACATTTTCCATTTAATTAGCACTAAACAGCTGAGGCTGACGGGAATTGATGTTGTTAATTTGGCAGGTGTTGCAAATACAAGTGTTGACATATAATTACCCACACATTTCATAGTTATTACTTTGTCTACTACTACAGTAGGCTATAGCTTTTACATACACTTTTAAGTATACTGTATTTTGTTATTATTTGATACGGTTTTCTTTAACCACTTACTATCAATACGTTTATACCTCAAGGAAACTTCAGGGTCAGTTAAGGATGTGTATTGGCAATAATATGACAATATGATTTATATATCAGTCCCTGTATCATCATAGTTCCCACCAATATTTGCAAGTAAACTATTTATAAAATTGACTTTTGAGTGATTTTGAGGATCAATACAATTTCACGTAACATAATAAATGTAATAATAGTTTCCTACACCAATAGGATCAGTGGGGTTTTAAATGTACCTTTTCTATTATCTCACTCTGTCTCAGGCATCATTGTCCAGACCTTTCCACTAGTCTCATGCATTAGCATTGTAAGAAGTCAGTGGTTGATGACTCCTCATTTCAAGATCTGCCATGTTGTTAGTTGCTTGGACAACTAAACAATCATAACAGCCGTAACCCTATCATCAACACTGAGCAGAAATGCTACTGAGGGAACACAGCGCCTCAGTATTGGGTGTTAATAAGGAGAAATGTTGTCAGATTTAACAGGCGCAGAGGCACAGTGTCATAGAGGGACACTAAGTCTAGGAATACATGCCTGTTTGTCTCATCACTGAAATTCCAGCTACTGTAACTCAAATCGGTGCAAACTGCAACACACGTAAGCCATAGAGTGTGAACAACAACTGAATGCATGATACAAAGGTGAAACTACAGTCGTTTCCCTCTCACTCACTCATGCAGCTCGAGATTATCGTCGCAAAAGAACCATCCTGATGAGCTGTTTCAAACCGTGTAAGTCCTGCCGGTGTGCAGGGTGTGCTTTGGAGGATGCAGTGGCTTTGTTGTGCTGTGTGGATTTATATAAGCTGTCATTGCTGCATTAAATATGAATAAATGGCCAGTGTTCCCCATGAGACATTTGTCTTAGCTGGACTAGATAAGAGAAACTAGAATCTGATTGGATTTTGGGTCCTTTCCAGGTCGTCATGTTTGAAATGTTGTCCTGGAATTTTTGCTAAATTAAAGTTTTATAGCTGAAATAACATAGAGCCATTTACAAGTTTGGTTTGTGGTGAAATGTTTGCATATTTGACGAATACTGTATTATTGATTGTTTTCTTATGTGCAAATATGTAATTGTGTATAGGAATGCAAGTCCTGGAGTGGAATGGTGTTCCTCTGACGGGGAAAACCTATGAAGAGGTTCAAGGGCTCGTCGGGCAGCCGTGCAATGAAGCAGAATTGTGTGTCAGACTGTGAGTATAAGTTCCCTCCTGTTTGTTTTTTCCTCATACTGTAATTATTACTCGATCTGCCATCTTCCTTATTCAGTCATTTCTCTTTTTACATTTCTGCCTGTACATCCCCTGATGCCCCCATCGACTCTTCTCTCTTTTCATAGTAACTTGAGTTTTTATGACACATTATTTCCTGTCTTTCAGTGATCTCAACATGCTGTCCGATTCTGACGGTTCTGATCACCTGGATTTCCAGGAGCACAGCAAAGGTGAGCTACTGTATTTCCATAACTGCAACTTCAAATCCCATCACTGCTTCTTATACTTATACTTAATTTGTACTCTCTTTGTTCCTACATTGTGTGTAATACCTTGTTTTAACATGCTGCTGTGACTACAATGTCAATCTTCTCTCCCATTGATGCTCCTGTGTGTCTAGGTGACAGACCCCCCAGGTCTCCAGGTGTTGACCCTAAGCAGCTGGCGGCTGAGCTGCAGAAGGTGTCCCAGCAGCAGGCCCCTTCCTCCACCTCTTCCTCCGGCCTGCCCCCCACCACCTCCGCAACCTCCAGCCAGCCAGGGTCTCCCTCCGTCAGCAAGAAACGCCACAGCAGCAAGGCGAGTCCGGGGGGGGGGGTCTGTTTGTCTTACAATAGATTGAGCTTCATAATGTTTTGGCTTACAGTATGAAGTGAAATATCAGTGGACTAATTACTTTCTGGCTACTGCATAGTGTCCTGTTTCTTTTCCCGGTTCGAACATTACGTTTGGGGAACACATTTTGTGCATACCTAGTACTATTTTGTCTATCAATACAACATTGGGAGGGTTACTTTAAAAAGATGTATTCCGTTAATACTGTAGATAACCCTGTAAATATAATGAGTAACCTAATCTGAGTAACAAAATATAAAAGTAATGTATCCTGATTACTTTCCGTTACTTTCGGATTACCTCAATATCAAATGCACTGCAAATAATTAAAAGACAAAGAAATATCAATAAGATTTTACTTACAGTGTAAGTGTATTATGTAAGACAACAGAACACCTCAGAAAGGAAGAAAATCAAGATATTTAGGTTAAAAAATGTGTCCTCTTATAGGACAGGCCTACAGAATAGTATAGTTTACAAATGCATTTTTGTTTAATAAATCAGGTGTTCACCAACTTCATTTGAAAATAGATATTTAAAATAAAGAAATTAGCCTAAATGAAGACTAAAAAGAATAATCTAGCAGTCTGTCTACCTATAATATATATATTTTTATTTTGAAATATATTGTAACATTGTAATCCTGCTTGTTATCCCCTTTTTATTCAAATCTATCAGTAATTTGATTACGCTTTATTTTTTTACTGAAAGGGAATACATTTACATGTTTTTGTATCCTGATTACGTCATCTTGTTAGATGTAATCCGTTACTCCCCGAGCCTGAACATGCCATTAAGAAATAAAATGCAAGAAATCCCAGTGCATTTTAGATGCCAAACATTTTAATTGTATAAGTTCAACTTTAGTTCAGCCTCAATCTCTGCATAAGGCACAGCACAGTCAGTACACAATGTACAGTATGAACACCCACCAGTATCCACCTACAGATTTCTGCTCGAGGCTTCTAAGTGTGTTGCTTTATTTCTTACAGACTGCAGAGGGAATGAAGACCCAGTCGCAGCCCGTCTCTGGAGAGATACAGGTCTGTGAAGCTCTGTGTTTAACTTCAAAGGATTATATGTGAGCAAAGTCGGTGATCACTTCCAGTTTTACTGTAAGCATTTTGGAAAACATTGAATCAACCCTCCTGTCGTGTTCGGGTCAAATCTGACCAATTTACTTTCATCAATCATAATGATTGTGTTTGACATTTGGTTGCTCAAGACCTTATGAATCCTCCATATTAGGATTTGAATTTGCTGATCACCACTTTCATTGAAGTGGTTTAGTCAACTGTGTATCACCTATAGTGTTCCCGGTCAAAAATGCCTGCCATAGGAAATGAATGGTTAACCCTAGATGATGTTCATCCATCAAATAGTACACACCCACAAATCGACAGCCATGTTGTTTTTTGGAATACATTTTCAGTGTTCTTTGTATATTCACTGCAGTTATAAGTATAAACCAGTAGTCTCAGACATTGTTTAGAGCTTAAAAGAGTGGTAAATAAAATATGCTGGTAATTAATGGTGTTTGTGTTAATGGAAGAGCAGTTAAAACAGACCGGCAAAAGACACCAAAGTAAGAGGGAGGAACAAACACAACAGGAGGGTAAAATAAATTAAGGAAATGCAGTTTTATTCCATTGATTCTCGCACCGAATGCATTTCAATTCATTGTAATTCAATATGTTTCTATTTGCAGCTTCAAATCCACTACGACAAGCAGCTTGGCAACTTGATCGTTCATGTCCTGCAGGCCAGAAACCTCGCTGCGCGGGACAACAATGGCTACTCCGACCCGTTTGTTAAAGTGTATCTCCTTCCAGGGAGAGGGTGAGTCAAGGGTTTGGAACCTGCAGTCACACCTAAAGTAGTTCAGAACAGGAACATCAGTTTAGGATATGAACGAGAAAGATGTTTTCGCTTGTGTTAATCTAGAGAGAAATGTGTAAGATGTGTCATAGTCTTTCAGTCACTGTACCTGCTAAGATAAGCCCAGTGATATACAGGCTATAAAGGCAGCCAGTTTGTAAAGCTCAAACCTAATTTCCATTCATTTTCAAATCGATTTACAATTGATTTTGGCTTACCATGACATCTTTTCAATGTACAGCACATGACCTTTCTTTGGTATCAATTCCAAAACACATAAACACTGCACATCATCACATATGTTTTTATTATGTATCCAGGGATGTAATGTGATATGAACTCCTTATGATGGGACTCATCGGCCCTTGACACAAACATTATGTAAAATATATGAGGTGTGTTCTTGAGTTGACGTCGCCCATGTTAATACGAGTTCTACTGTAGGTGTAAGTGCAGTCAAAATCAATAGCTCTCATATTTACTTGCAATACGATCCACACATCCCATAAGTCTAGGCCTCCTGTTCTCACTGTGATTGCGCTGTAATGTAATTGACTCTCCCACCTTCTCTGCTGTTCGAGCTCCCCGGAGAGAGGCTTTTTTCCTGGGATCGTTTCAGATAAAAGCAATAATGTTCAGCTGTGGGCTTTGCAGCCGCCACTCAGAAATTGCACTGTGGGTTTTAAACGGAGTAAGGGTTACTTTAAAGGGACTGGTAGAGTGATACGCACAAGCTGTACATACGCCCTTCTGAGAGTGGTTGTAGAAATACACACTTAGTCTCATGTGGGCCAACACTTGTGTATATGCTATATGTGTGCATACATGGACAAGATCACAGCTTTTAAGTTGCATCACAGATATCCTGGCAAAGATATGGAGCTGCTGCAATGAAACAGGTGGTTTTATAGAGGGAAATGGTTGTTTTGGCAAAAGTAATACACATTAACAGTGTCTATAAAGTTGGCATTATGGTTCTCCAGGCTGCGTGGGTCTCGTTCAAACACGTTTGCATACGTATTTAAAACCTGTATCACGCCAGCAAACCTCAATGAAGTCAGTTAACATAGAAGTAATCCTGAAATGGAATCATAGTTCACCCCTGAACAGTGTAAACAAACCACTTTATCCAAGAAAGTACATTACAATGCAGTCTGAAAGAATAAATGTGTATCCCCTTTCACTTTTACCAGGAAAGTAGTAATGTCTCCATGGTAACCGAGGTTATTAGACATGATCTAAAGTCTTTGAAAAGTAAAATACTTGTCAGTAGGGCAGAGACATCATTTTTCACCTTACACATTTTGGATAAATACTACTTTTAACTTGACACGGTAATGTTTAGTAAACTCACAAGACACTTTTGGCTAACAAAGTATGTAAACATAAAGTACATTTGATTTTGTTTTTACATGCTAACCAACCAATCAGAATCGGTTTTTATTACCAAGTAGGTTTACACGAGGACTTTGCTTTGGTATGAGTGGTGCATACAAAGACACGGAAGGAAGAATACAGAGCAAAAAACAGTACTATGATAAAAGCTATTTTAGGATTATTAAAACTATACTTATGTGAGTACAGTAAAGTCAAATAAAATATAACAAATACTATTTTCAAAGTGGAGAGCAGTACAGATTTCAAAGGAGGTAGTGTGGAGCAGAAATGTGCAACATGTTGTTCAGGATTTACAATATTAAAATGAACAAGATAGTGCTCTCAAGATTATTAAAATGCTTCCACTTTCCACAGTTTCATGAGCAGCAGATCTCCATTATGGTTGCCAATGGATGCGTCACATCACACAACTCATAACACGACAACACACACTCAATCCCCCACTGCAGGCAGCACACCACAGACCCCCGCTCTCGCCCCCTTTTCTAAACACAACTTCTAAATCACACACTTAACCTAAATATACAGTCCCTCCCCACGTACACGCGGACACTCTCTGACCCCCCCCCCACCTCTGACTATTGTTTCTGTATGTTGTTCTCTATATTTAATGCATGCTGGACCCTCTCAGTCAGGTCATGGTTGTCCAGAACGCCAGGTATGTGACTTGACCATTTTGATACTTTTGGTTCTGTTTTGAAATTTGGTGGTCAGTTTGGTGAAGGTACACATCCAAATTGTTTTCTAACTAATCTGAAGCTTTTGGATACAAATCAGTTCAACTAACTCCCTTAAATTGTGCATTTTCCCCAGTCCCCTATTCTCATGATACTCCACTCACCTTAAAGCAAGGAGTTGAATCCCTTAATATTAACATCTTCCCATTGCTTTAACATAACATAAATAAACGTATGATCCAAGCTAACTTCTGCGTGTTCCTGGTCTGTCTTTGTTCCCAACCATTGTAATTTGATATCCAAACATTGACCCCTTTAGTTTGTCATTGTTTTGTGAATAAAACCATCAGTAATGTCCTACACCGTGCCATGACATCGTCCTGTACCCTTGATGCCCTGCCACATTCAATACACACTCCATTGTTTTCCTATGCAGTCCTTATTCATCCCATTATTTTCCAATATACATTAGATTGTCCTTGTCTTTACCAAACTAACTTTTACAGACGTACTAATATCCTACACTCTTATATTAAACCCTACACACTGCAAAAAAACATCCATTGAACAAGTCATTTATTTTTACTCCAGTGGGTCTGATAAAAAAAAAAAAGTTTCTTCTCAAAACAGGTGAATAATTAGTCAGTAAAGTCAGATTATGCTTTTGTTTCTTTTGAGGATACAATTGTGTTACTAGTGGCACCAAACAAGAAAAAGATTCAAGCTCTCTCTACCATACTGGCATACAATTTCACTTGTTTTAGGACTTCTACATTTTATGAGACTAAATGACTTGATTGACATCAAAATGGACTTTTTTGCAGCGCGCCCTGACATCATACCTGCCTTTCATGCACGTAGGCTCATACATTGTTGTCGTCCGAACAATGTGCGTCACCTTCATTCTCTCCCTTCTTCTGTCTACATTGTGCCCGGCGTGTTGTGGTGGTTTCACTCTCCTGCAGGGCTCCGGCATGTTTCTGACCGAGTGTGTCTTGTTGTGATGTGTTCCCTCAGTGCTGAAAACAAGAGGAGGTCCAAACACGCAGGCAAGAGTCTCAACCCAGAGTGGAACCAGACTGTCATCTATAAAAACATCCACCTGGAGCAAGTATGTCATCATACAGATATTTCTGTTAAGCATAGCTGCACCAGTCAATGTTCAGGAAGTCATGGTGCAGAATAAGTTGTAGAAACACAAAATGACACAGCATTTTTGTACTGACTTTATCTTAAACTCAATGTTTTTTGAAACGCCACAAAGATTAATATGTGCAAGAATCAAAGATCAAATGCCAAATCTCCCATTTGCTAAATATAATATCTCTGCATCACTCTATTGTGTAGTATGCTTTGTATACCTCAATATTCAGTGATGGCACAAAAAGAAACCTCACATTAGGCCAAGTTTTACATAAAAATGCTAAAATGACATTTATCTGTGCTGGCATGCTGACTAGCATTGTGGCCTTTGGTTTGAGTAGAGCAGATGGATATGCCATTGGGATTTAATGAAATCATGTTGGATCCCATTTTAGATTTATTGGACCCATATCAATCACAGTCAATTCTGGACTTCTGCTAGCTGTTTTTTTTTAGCTGCTGAATGTCCAGTCCCACTTTAAGCCCAGATCATATGTTCTTTCTCCAAGGTCAATTATGTCAGCCAGGAAAACTTTTCATTAACTTTTATATGTGTGTATCAGCTGAGGAAGAAGACGCTGGAAGTGAGCGTGTGGGACTACGACAAGTGCTCCTCTAATGACTTCTTAGGAGAGGTAAACCTGTTTTCACTCAGGTCATTTTTGCACCATGGGTGTAGGCACATGTCCATTAACCTGCCGAGTTTGTTCCCAGGTTCTTATCGACCTGTCCAACACAGTCCAGCTGGACAATGTCCCGCAGTGGCACCCCCTGAAGGAGCAGAGCGAGGGGGACCACCACCGGCGCTCCCACTCAGGACAGAGCCGCCACTCCTCCTCTAAATCCTCCTCCCAGCACTCCTCCCCTAAAACTACCGTCTCCGAACACGACAATCAGGATTCTCCCAAATCATCTGTCATCAAGAGCCGAAGCCACGGGATATTTCCAGATCCGGCCAAGGGTAGGACACGATGAAATTCCTTCAGCTGCTTGACCTTATCACCCCCTAACAACCGTCTGTACTCCTCTAGTACTGCTACCTCTCTCTACTTCTACTCTCTTCCTGTCACTTCTTCTCTCGTCTGTCCTCCCACTATATCTGTATCTACTTTCTGTCCACCTGTTTCTCTCTTGCAGCCTTTGTTCCAACTAGCACCTTCCTATGCCCATTTATGCACACCCATTATAGCTTTAGCTTCATGCTTTTTTGCTTTCCCATGGTCTGTATTCTTGGTTGCCATGATGTCACCCAGCTCAGAGGCCTAGCCTTAGCTCCCCTCTATCTCTCCCCTAACACAGAGGGCAGCATGGCCGTGGAAGGTTTTGAATGCTCCCCTAATTTAGAGAAATAACCATCAAATTTAATGAGGCTGTTTGAAGAGCATAGACTTTAATATACAGTTACCATGCTGGGCTACGTTTCCCAGCTACTTATTCACCACAGGTGTGAATAAAAAGTAAATCTCTATCTTCTCTAAAGTAAAAGGTAGTTTTTTTTGGTAATTTGGTGAATCTGGTTGTTTTAGACACGCAGGTGCCAACTCTCGAGAAATCTCACAGTAGCCCTGGCACATCGAAGCCTTCCCCGTCCGAGGGCCAGAGCCAAAGGCACGGACACAGGGAACACTCTCGCTCGCACGGCGCTTCACACTCCGGCAAAAGTGCCACGCGGCACCACCATCAGGACAGCGGCACTGGAAGCGGTGGAGGCGCTGCCATAGCAACAGCCACTGCCTCGCAGCAGCCACAGCAGCCGCCGCCGCAACGCCTCCAACCAAGTAAACCAAGACGCAAATAAAGCCTACGCAGCATGGCCTCCTCGCACTCATCCACCTCCTGTTATTTTACTTTGTTCCTTCAGTTTCCTTTTCTGTTTTCGGTTTCCCTCACCCTTAACACGTCGTACTCACAGTGTGTCCACCTCTCACCGCTTCTCTGCTGTGTGTACTCACAAGTGTGTGGAGCAAGCACCTCACCTGTACTGTAGCACATCTGATCTTCCTAAGTTTGACCCTTTTAATGAACCCAAAGAGGCGTAATGGTTGCTGATCGAAGCTAATTCTACCTACTTACAAAAGTAAACGGGCTATAGGCTAAATCCTTATTTATCTAATGCTCTTTTAAATATACAAATAAATAGGTTTAAACATTTGTTTTTGTTTTGTTTTGAAGGGTGATTGAAATACTCTTTAACCTTGAAATAGGATGAGCAGAAGTATGACAGTCATAACAAAAATGAAATCTAAAGTAGATTAGCAGGACATGATCTAAAGGCAAATCTGACCATTTTGTCGTAGCACAAAAACATCTCAAGCTCTGTCAAAAATACTGAAAAAATGATGACTTTATGGCAAAAGTTCAATTATTGGAGTAGAGTTTCCACTTCCAAGAGAGTTTATATCACCACTAAGCAGGGATATATTTTGAATGTATTTATCCAAGCAGTAAAACTGAAGAAAGTCCCAATCCCAGCCCCTCCCCAAACTATCATTAACCTCTTTTGGTAGTCTTTTGTTTGGTTTTGAGTTATTCTCTTGCTCTGAACAAACATCAACCAGCTCCTCCACTGAGATGGCTGTGCATGCAGTCCGCTAACCCCCCCCCCCCCCCCCCCCCCCTTTCTGGTTTGAACAACTATGGGACTCACACTGCACCTCAGTAGATGCTGCACACCCCGCCTCCTAGTGACATGCAGGAGGGGCGAATGTGCACCGCACACTGTGGCTGCATGTGATGTGACAGTCAAGCTGGTTTCCATGGTGAAGATAAACCGCTCTCTGAATCTCCATCTCGCTCCTCCCTCCTTCCATCTTAAACGTCGACCCCATGACCTTTGTTTCCTGGCGTTGACCTCCCTGACACCTGACCTGCCGAAAAACAAACAGGCCAACGAGGCCGCCTCTCTCTGAGGCAGCAGAGGCACAGCGTAGCGGGCGTGCTCACCATTCAGACAGCGCAGTCCGATTGGCTGCCTGCCCTGCCAGCCGTCGTCTCGGCCAATGGGAGCAGAGCAGACGGCAGACACCTGACCCTCGGGAAAGCCGTGTCGGAAGAGAGGCCGCAGAGCATCGGAGGTGAGAGTTCCCCCCAGAGTCTCCTCGCAGGAGGAGAGTGAAACATGAGATGCTACTAACGCACACCTGCAGAAAGAGAGTCTAATCTTAAGAGCCAGGGAGTCACAGTCACCAGAGATCCATGCAGCGAGACACGCTTTCTTCACGGCCACCAACACAGTTCACTAGAACCAGGAAGTGAATGTCTGTCTGATTCAATGTGCCACCCCCACGACCCCCCCAGTGCTTCATTCCTCTGGTATTGACGACGTGTTGCGTGGCCTGACAGGAAAACGTGTCGCCATGGATTCTGTTCTGCACCACATCCCACATCATTCATACTCTATCACACTGCCTGGTCAAACATTTACTTCTCGAACATCTTGCAAATAAACAGGTTTTAAAAACAAATTTAGTACAATCTTAAACATCCTTTAAACTTTAATGATCTATATTTATTTTTAAGCTAAACTAATGCTAACATCGAGATTATTATTAAAAGTTCATGTAAAAAACTAACATGTCAGCAGGGTCTACGTGCCTCTTGTGTGGTCTATTTGTGCATACACATATATATGTGATTTCTCTGGATGTATTTCTGTGTTTCATGTTAAAGCTTTAAATGTGTTACTGTCTTGTCCATGTCTGAGAGAAAATATTACACACTTTGTTCATGTGCTTCTTGCTAGTCAACATTGTTTATGTGCTATTCATTACAATCCAGTCTTCTTTACTGTAAGTGTAAACAAAGCTCCCTGTTACAGATGATTTGAAGTATTAGGCTGATAATGATGGGTTTTAGTTGCTACGGACATGAACTGATGCTTCTTGGACCTAGTTTTTACAATATTGGATCCGACAGAGGTGCCGTTTGTGTCCCTTCTCTTTGTGGTGATGGTGTGGTCGTGTCTCTGCACAGCTCGGTCCAGCTACAGATCCGGAGATGCCCCGGTCACAGCCGCCTCTCTGGATAGCGGCCTGAGCGGCAGCGCCTACAGCCTGCTGGACGAAGAAGGAGAGACAAACGAGGTGGACAGTGCCATCTTCCAGGTGCCACGATTGTAAGTCACCTTACTCAACACTATTTTTATTTTGTATTTAAATCTTTATTGTCACATTATACATGACATTAACATGCTGGTTACAACAACATAACAATCATGTAACAATCCTAGTGATAGCTTTCCCTCAACAATTATTTTAAGCCTCAGTTTTTTGGATGTGCTATTAATGTTTTTTGGATACATGCATTGTTTAGCTTTGTAAATTCCAGAATTTGTTTCCTCTCTCTTTAGTGGAAAGATCCCCAATGGCACAGACGTGATGAAATCCTCACTTGGACTCGGTGACACTGAAGGTTAGACATTTCCTCTAACACTATTAAATGCACTTTAACATAATTGTGATATCCTCTAGTGACCCACCCATTCATTTTTGAATGAATGGGTGTATGAGTTTGAACATTTTCTCTTTACCACTTTAGTACTGTATTTGCATTCAAATAAGTAATTGCAGTGAAATTAAATAACTAATGAACTTATAGACGAACAATTGGTTTGTTGTTTCCGTCTTTTTTGTCTCTATTTATTTTATTAAATGTTTTTAATACAAGTTATTTAATGTTTACTGATTGTTTTTGATTGCAAGTATTTCAATGTATATTTGCATCTTTCACATTATCCATAGACTTGTTAACTCATTAATGTTCAGGTTATTTTCATTATCTATCCCTGGCTATTTCCTTTTCTTCTTCCTGCCTTTAAATATTGGTTCAAGTAAATTATGACTAATGCAAAAATGCAAATTTGACCTTAAAAAGCTAGAAAGAGGTTTGTTATCTGACGTTCACATTTCCAACCAGTGTGAGACCTAAGCTACAACGCACATGGATGAACACATTTTGATTATCCGCATGACTTCTTTATCTCTTTATAATCTGCACTCTTTTTTTTGTCAATGGGACTCTCTCGTCTTGTAATAAACACACACACACACACACGCACGCACGCACGCACGCACGCACGCACGCACGCACGCACGCACGCACGCACGCACGCACGCACGCACGCACGCACGCACGCACGCACGCACGCACGCACGCACACACACACACACACACACACACACACACACACACACACACACACACACACAGAATATACCCTTACACAGTTCTCATTTCCATTCAGTTTCCAAGGCAACCAGAAGCCAGGCACAGCTCTTCATAACTTCTCCCCATCGTTGTTAAACAAATAAATGAGATGTTTGAAGGCCTCGTTTGAGTTGACTCATCATGAGAGTTCTCTCAGCGTCCAGCAGAGGGCAGTCACACGCACCAGGTCCCTTATTTTACAGAGGGAGTGTGAGAATAGAGCAGTGATGGAAAGTAAATGTACTTAAGTATTGCACTTAAGTACTTTTGTGACAGATTTGTACTTGAGTATTTCCATTTAATCAAACTTTATACCTCTACTCCACTACATTTCAGAGGCAAATATGAAAGTTTTACTACACTACATTTATTTTGACGCTCAGATTTACTAGTTACTTTGTACATATAAAAACACATGATATGATGGTATAATGCAGAACTGTACTACTAATCCACACAGTATTTTAAATATCTACATTTGGTCCACACTGACAACTACAAACTATTATAATAACCTCTTACATATTAGTGATAAAACCAGGATATTTAAAAAAGAAAATAATAATAATAACAATAAATGATATTTATATAGCGCCTTTCAAGGGACCCAAGGTCGCTGTACATGGTGGACAAACAAAACAAACAGACAATCAACGGGCAAACCAAATAAATAAATAAATAAAGGAAGCCAGGGGACCAGAAAAGGGCTAGTGCCCGAAGGCCAGGGTGAACAGGTGTGTTTTTAGTGATAATTTGAAGATGTCCAGGGAGGCAGCAATACGGATCTCGGCAGGAAGTGCATTCCAGAGGGTGGGGGCCGCAACACTGAATGCCCTGTCACCAACAGTTCGGAGGCGAGAGCGGGGGATGGAGAGCAGGCCCGTGTCTGAGGACCGCAGACTCCGAGAAGGGGTGTAGGGATGGAGGAGGTCCGATAAGTACTGGGGGGCGAGGGTATGGAGGGACTTGTACGTGAGGATGAGTGTTTTGTATTGAAACCGGGACTTGACCGGCAGCCAATGTAGGTGGATGAGGGTGGGGGTGATATGGTGCCATGGCTTGGTGTGGGTGAGAAGCCTGGCGGCAGAGTTCTGGACATATTGGAGCCTATCCAGGGTTTTGCTGGGAACCCCGGACAGGACTCCATTGCAATAGTCCAGACGGGATGTAATGAAGGCGTGTACCAGGGTTTCTGCCACAGTCAGAGAGAGAAGGCCGGATTCTGGCAATGTTTTTTAGGTGGTAGAAGGCGGATTTGGTGACAGCTTTGACATGCGCCTGGAAAGAGAGGGTGGTGTCCAGGATGACTCCCAGGTTGCAGACTTCAGTGGACGGGAAGATAGAGCAGCCGTCAATGGAGAGAAGCAGGTCTCCAACCTTCTGGAGCTGCGTCTTGGGAGCCACAATCATGAGCTCTGTTTTATTGCTGTTGATTTTGAGCAGGTTTGATGACATCCAGTTTTTTATGTCCTGTAGGCAGTTGACAAGGGATTGAGGGGGGAGCTGAGTGGACGGTTTGGTGGAGAGATAGAGCTGTGTGTCATCAGCATAAGAGTGAAAGCTGAGACCATGTTGGCGGATGATTTGACCAAGTGGGAGCATGTAGATATTGAATAGGAGGGGTCCAAGCACAGAGCCTTGAGGTACACCTTGGTTGACTGGGGCGGGAGGGGAGCTGCCGTCACTGATGGTGACAAAGTTTTTCCTGTTAGACAGGTAGGACACGAACCAGGCAAGAGCTGTGTCACTGAGGCCAAGGTAGTCAGACAGACAGGCGGCTGAGGAGGATGGAATGGGATATGGTATCGAAGGCTGCTGAGAGGTCCAGGAGGATGAGAATGCTGATGAGGCCAGAATCAGATGCGATGAGGAGGTCGTTTGTGATTTTGACGAGGGCAGTCTCAGTACTGTGATATGGTCTGAAGCCAGACTGGAGGGGTTCGTAGAGCTCATGCAGTGACATGTGGTGTTGCAGTTGTGCGGCAACTGCTCTTTCCAGGATTATAAAACATAATATAATACTTTAAAAAGACCCCTTCTGCAGTACTTTTACTTCCGAAACGTGAAGTACATTGAGCTCATAATACTACTGTACTTTATAATATTTTGAAATGGGCCATTCTGTATAATGAGTACTTTTACTTTGTGTACTTTAAGTACATTTTGATGCTAACACTTTTGAACTTTTGCTGAAGTGACATCTTGAAATCGAGCCTTGAAATGTAGTATTTTAAGACCCTAGTATTTGTAATTTTACTCAAGTTAAGGTTCTGAGTACTTCTTTCAACACTGGATTAGAGGAGTGTGTGTTTCACTGCGCCCAGCTGATTCAATGTGTGTATTTTCAGGTAAGTCCCAGGTGATGGGGGAGATAAAGATCGCTCTGAAGAAGGAGGTAAAGACGGATGGTGAGCAGCTGGTCCTCGAGATTCTTCAATGTCGCAATATCACCTACAAATTCAAGTCTCCGGACCACCTGCCTGGTAAGAGCAAACACAACACACACACTTACTGTCATTTAGCTTGGATATGCACAAGATCTCAACATGCAGGACTGATTTCTCCATCTTTTGTCTTCTTGTTTCCTATTCTGTCAATACTTCTATAAAGACTCTTCACAGCATTCAAATAATATTATATGAGATACATATTATTTTCATAATTTGACAGCCGGGAGGCCCACACTGCCCACACTGTATAGAAAAAGACAGGCATCTGACATAGCACATACATCCGTGCCAGTTTCTTTAGATGCAGATCCTTTGGTGTTATAATGGTGTCTTTCAGCCAGCATTTCCTTTACCCTGTTCCTGCCCAGATGGATACTTCAGTTAACACCCAGGATGGAAAATAAACGTTATTACTGTAACGACTGTATCTGTAGTTTAGAAAATCAGCAGCACCCTGAGTCAAAGCTCTACTGTCATATCTGCAGATTAGACAGTACAATATATTTAGATTTCATGTGAACTGGACTTGGCGTTGACAACAATCCCTGATTGTCTTCCCTCAGCGTAGCCGCCCACCTCTCCTCTTGTGAGATTTACATCTTAATACCCAAGCTGCCTGCTACTTGTTTAATATGCATTGGTTAACAGATTGGATATGAAAAATCCATTGACAGTATAGAAAAATGTGGAGCAGTGACTCATAGCATTAATTCTTTATTGTTGGCTGTGTGCAACTGTGAGTATTTTTAAAGCTGCTGTGTAGACTTTCTACTGTATGTGTTAAGTGGCCATGATTCTCCAATAGTAATGACCAAAGCCCATTTTAAACTACGTGTGAAGCAAAAGAAAAAGCACAATTTGATGGATGGGATTATTTTTTTGCATAAACCAAAATGGCAGAAAGACATGAAATAAATACCTGTGCTGTAAATGTAGAAACATGATCATTTTAATAAGTAAACGTACAACTATAAAGCTTTTTCTCAGCCCAATGGGCTTCCCCTAGGCCAAAATCACATGACTTACTATGTTGTGTGTGTATTTGTGTGTCCACAGATCTGTATGTGAAGCTCTACGTGGTGAACATCGCCACCCAGAAGAGGATCATCAAGAAGAAGACCAGAGTGTGTCGCCATGACCGGGAGCCATCTTTTAACGAAACCTTCCGCTTCTGTATGAACCCGGCCGGACACTCGCTACAGGTAATGCTAATCCAGTCCTTATTACAGCACACACAAACACAGCAGGAAGATTATACATCGTTTTAATAAGGTATACATTAACTGCTTAAGAAATGCTTATTATTTTAGTAGGGTTATTTGCTTTCATGCTGGGAGTTAAGTGTTTCTAAAGTGCATCACTACCCTATTCTCCAGGTAGGACTAAAGATATTTCATGTTTTCTTCCAGGTGAAATTTGTATTTCTATATTTACTCCGTTTACAAGATATACATGGTGTATTGGTAGGATAATATGTACCACCACTTATGGTTCAATGTATTGTATTAAATTGTTTATAAATGTGCTATATAAATAAAACTTGATTTTATTTGATTAAAAAAAAATCATCGTGACAAAATATTTTACTGTTCTCAGAGATTGATAAAGGTAACTAAGAAAAATGATCTTTGCACATTTGTTTATTTTTTTACGTTTCTTGTCCCCAACAATTGTTTTTTTTTCTGCTCCTGTAACATTGTGCTTGGACCCCCTCTAAAAGACTACATCTATGATAATACAATGTGTGATAGTGTTGCAGCCAATACTGCGCTGTAACCTGGGTCTAAGATAACAGGAATGGTTTTTTTTTCAGTAATGTAATTAAATAAATAGAAAGTAAGTTACTGAAACAAATTCTGTTACTAAAGAAAATACCAACAAATATTAAGAAATTAAATAAAAACAATGTTTGTCTGCATGAATAATGTATTTATTATCCCCAAATGTATTTATGTTAATGGTAAAGTAAGTAACTCAAGTTGTAACTCAGACATTAACACAAATGCTGTTATTAAAACAAAAACCAGTGATGGTATTTTATGTTTTTTTGTGCGCTATGACTTCATACTGAACTGAAAAAGTTGAAATCTTGAACTCTGTCTTTGTCTCCTTTGTCCAGCATTTAACATGCCCCTCTCATTCAATAGCTATCCCTCAGTTAAATTGGTCTGACCCGCTTTTGCCCCTCTGGGCTTCCGTAGATACCTAGAACCAGGAGACTACTAGCTTAGCTTAGCATAAGGCTGGAAATATCTAGCAGAAAATGTATATTCCTTTAAACATTCACCAATCTCTTGTTAGACCTGGTTCCTTCACGTACTCAATCATTTGACATATTGTTTGTTTGTTCTTTCAACACCAGCTGTTCCTGGTGTCCAATGGGGGCAAGTTTATGAAGAAGACCCTGATTGGGGAGGCCTACGTGTGGCTGGACAAAGCGGACCTACGCAAGCGAGTGGTGAGCTGGCACAAGCTCCTCGCCAGCACTGCCCAAATCCACTCATAGACAGAAACTCCACCTAAAAAACTCTCATTTGGGGACGCTTAGGTTCAACATCTGTCACACTGATCCACTCCGACTGGATGGGTAAAGGGTGGTTTGGGCTTGGGAATATTTTGTTCAGGGCTCTGAGATTTGGAAGATGCTTTTGTTCGTAAGGGCCCCTCTGATGATCGTTTCTGTCCTGCAGGAGGGTTGGGGGGAGTAGTGATGCGTTTACAGGAAACTAAGCTAAGTTTACAGGAAGTACAGTGTACAGTAGTGAAGCCAGGGCTGAGGAGAACACAAGTGCTGAGGTCAGAGGTCAAGCACGGAATCAACCAGGTATTACACTCTTTAATTCACTACACACACACACACACACACACAATTATTCACGACAAGTTTGCACACTCATTCACGCAGAAGAGACATTTTAATTCTACAGGGAATGGACACACTTCTTATTTATTTATGTAGATGTTTTATCCATTCCTTCATTGCTTTATTATGAGAGTTTGATTGATTTACAAAGCATTTTGGGAATGAAATAGTGAAGACTCCGCTGCGGAGACCTCGTATTTATTTTGTATTAGGATATTAGGGTAGAGTTCTATCATTTGTCTTCTTCTCAATTATTTAAAAGATAATCTATCCTGGGAAGGAAGCATCATATATTTTATAACACACTACCTAGCATTCCAGTCCAAGAGAAAAAATAAATCTCAGAATGCATGAATTTATTATCTCCTTGTTCACTTTGCACCCCATCTTTTCTCTCCCTAAGTGTAAACACAGTTGTATCAAATGATGTATATTGTTTGATAATGATTAATATGGATATATAATTGGATACTATATATTGTGCGCATGAGTCTATCTATCTGGTATGCATTGCCACATGTTCTGCACAAAAAACAATCACCTCTAAGGTTCACTCTGTACATAGTGAAGTGTCATAGCTGGAAATGAATTATAACATATATAGATAGATATATAGATATCTTTATCAGAGACAATCGAGTCTTGATGATTGTGACATAGAGCTTTTATTTACCCATGATGCCCCTTAGAATGTGAGATGTTTACCATTTGAGATTTTATTCTTTTTCTTTGTGAGATCCAGGCACATTACGAGTCTTATATTCACCCTGCTTTCATTCATAGGAGCAGTCAACCTAACAACGCACGCTTTTGTGGTATTTTGCACTTTTTTCTGCTTAGAATGTAAAACCAATGTCATCGTCCTGCTAAAAATTTGAGATGATTTACCTTACAAGGGCGGGAAGTAGAGAGGTAAAGTAAAGCGATGAAAATATCTGGAGATACTGTAGCGAACAAAAGACAAATGTGCCGGGAACCATCCACGAAAAAGCACTATTACCATTCTAAGATACGTCAATGCTATCGTTGTAGCATGTTGATGTTTTGTCCCAGTTTTTGTCATATACGTGTTATCTTGTTATTGCCACTTCCACAAATTGTCAATGTTGTGTCTTTAAAAGTCCATAATGTCTTAGTAAATGTCCTACCATGTGCTATTTAGGGGGGAAAGAGGTAGGCTTCATTTAGCATTTTCAGTCCAAATTAGCAGTAAAAGTTGATATCTGAGTCATATGCAACATCTTCTGAATAAAGGTGGTAACTGCATCATGACTCAGCAGATAGTTGAAAAAAGAGGAAGCATTTATCTTGATTTTTCTTTCGCACTGTGTTTTCATGCCCTCCATGAAACGCTTAATCCTTTAATATAATTTCTATACAAATCTTTTATTTATTGACTGTGAGACTATTTTATATGTTGTATTATATTTGTTTACAGTTCATATCAGGTGTACATAAAAGACAAGTTGGGAAATTTGTTTTTATACACACCGTATCGTTGTTTACAAGGTTCAGAGGGCCTGGAACTCAGAGAACTAACTTTGTTGTCCTTGTGCACCAACACACATACGGACATTAACATGCACACATCCTGAATTTCACAGCCGGGAATCAAGATAAGAAAAGATAACATACCCATTTAAACATTTCATGTTCTCCCCCTTTGAATAGTTAATTGTAAGCACTTGAATAACTGAAATGTTTTAAGGTCAGTGTGTGGTTTTCTTATTTTCATACCTGTGTGTTTGTGTAAAGCATCTCCAGACCAGTCCATGCATGTCATAGGCCAAATTGCATATATATTCTTTTAAGTGTTGTCTGTCTAAAAATATCAACTTTAAAATCTCTCTAAAAAGATGAACACACACACAAACACACACGCACACACACATGCTGTCTCTATTTCCAACCTTGTAAATACAAAGCTTTTTTATACTGGGGTTTGGGGAGCAATAGGTCTTTTAGCAGACTGAAAAAAGGTGTGTAATCATAGATGTAAAAGGAAGTTGTTTTTTTCTCTTGATCAATGTACAGCGGATAGACTGAGAAACAACGTTATGTCTGTTTATAGGGACAGATTTACCCGACCCTTAACACCAAACACTTAAGGTTTACCAGAGTCTAACTACACAGAAGTCTATCTTAACTCGAGCAGTTGCAGGAGAATTTAAATGTGCTCACACTGGATGTTGCATGTTTCGTTGGTGGTTCATACTATTTTTGTGTCCAGATATTATTAAAGAGAAAAAAAAGAATGAGGTAGCGAAAGATATAGAACAAAACTGTCGTAGAGAAGGAAATTATGAAGAAAAACCTATTAAGATTATCGATGATGTATGCTGACTGTACAAAGATTATGCTTGTAAAACCCATCTGGTTTTTCACTTGTAAGTAAACAGAAAAAAAATCTACTGTCATGGTTTTGTGATTGTATACAGGAGGTATTGATAAATTATGCAAATTGTGCTGTAAAAATGGCTGTTGCCCCATGTCTAAATATTAAATATCAGTACAAAGGAAATGCTGTTGGGAATTGCATTATTGACAATAACACAGTTCTTTTATTTTATTTGTTTTATCTAGTTTTCAAAGCTGGTTAATGCATTGTTGTGTTGATGCATGATGTAACCACATGATGGCGCCAATGGCTTTCAATTTGAGTCCATGGCCGTGGTTGCGGTTGGATAGTTTAAAAATCAGCTCCTAAATTCTAACCCTATCTCCTATTCCTTGACCTCTGAGTGAAACGTCACGGGGTTAAGGGATAGTGGATAGGAGAATTCAAAAGGATTTAGGAGAAGAGACCGTGATACTTTAGAGCAGAGGTTCTCAATTGTTTTTCAGCCAAGGACCCCTTACAAGATAGAGAATACACCAAGGACCCCCTCATTCTGATTTGTGATTTTGGGCTATATAAATACAAATTTACTTGATTTGACTTGTATGTCCCTTGGAATAATCTGACGTAGCCTATTTTTTACACTTCTATAGTCTTAGTTATGTGAAAGAACAACACAAGAGAAATGTATTAGAAAGATATTGGATATGTATTAAAAAATATTTGCAACCATCTCAACACAGAATACCCATAAAACAATCAATCAATTAGTTTGCAAGTAACCACTACCTAACAAAATATCAAAGGGGAAATCAAGAGAAAAGTGATCATTTGAAGTGCATTTCAGAACACACACAGCACCACACACACACACACACACACACACACACACACACACACACACACACACACACACAAACACACACACATCAACACACACACAAAAAAACGATAAGAGTATTCAAACTTG